GATAAGACCAGTGCGGTAAATCATGCCTAGTTTCCACTCAAATCCACCATCTTCGAGCTCGAACAAGAAGTTTCGTGTGCGTACTGACACTTTGGGAACCGACTTTGGTCCTTCGGGCTTCTTCTCGAGGATGTACTCATTGGTCCCCGTCTTGAAGCGATGGTGTAGCTGCTGGACTGCTTTAATCACATTGATGAAGTTGTCACTCACGCGGCTGACGATAACCTCATGTGGTACAGCGATACGGACGGCCTCAGTCACGATGTCCACCATCTTCTCGTCAACAACACCCCCATAAGCTGTCTTTCGACGAGATTCTCGGAAATCGAGGCGTCCTGACTTGATGCTCACCAACCTTGCCCAAACGTTGCGCATGCGTGGTGGTTCTGTGTAAAGTCGCACAAGCTTTGCTGCAATGTAAGGGGTAGACCATCTCTGGCGGCCTAATTCCAAACCATACATATGCAGCATCATAGCTGGATCGTGAGGCATATCGGCTTTAAGCTGCACAAGCGCTGCTTTGAAATCGAGGGTAACCAATTCTGGTGTAATAGTGGACGAGCCAGAGTCGAAATCAGGAGTTCCTGGAGGCGCCAGCCGGTTGGCAGTAGGAATGATATCAACATAGCTTCCATTTTGCTTCGTTCGTGGAACGTCACGCCCACTCTGCATGAAAGCTTTGCGCAATGTCATGACAGCAACCCCAATGGCGTAATGCCGGTAGAGCGAGTACTTAGCACGGATCGAACGGACACCAACTTGTATGTTGAACGTTGGACCACTGGCATCACTTGCTGCACTGAGAGAAAGCTCAAGTCTCGGTACACTGAGGAAGGGTTCTGGCTCAAGCGTATCAACAGCATCCATGATCTGTGCCTCGATTCCACTCGCAAAGAGTGTAAGTTTCCGTCCATCGCCGATGTTCTGCGGTTTCTTTTTGGGTCGTGGGGAGCTCGAAGGAGGAGTCCACTCAGAGTCGGACTGGTTGATAGAACGACTGTTGGCGCGTCTTCTAGAAGCCCGGCGTTGAAGTCCGTCAAGTCGATGGGCACGGTATTCGGTTGAGACAGTATCCCAATGCAGAAATACTCCACGAGTATCATCTGAGATCTCCTCGTCAATGCCTGCGATCTCCACGTTGAAATCTGAGGCATCAAACTGTGCTCTCAATAGCCAGTTCGGCATGGATCGTAAGAAATTCTGGCCACCCCTGGATCGTGAAACCGTGCCCTTTTCTGGTTCCACATCAATGCGCAACTCCTGAACTATTTGACGAAGCCCATCGATAATCTCAGGTCTGACCATACTGATCGAGGCAGACTGAAGGTTACCAGATACATCAACGTAAACATCCGGCCGAGCGCCCAGATGTAGTTTCATATCGAGTGATTCTGTGGTAATCAAGTTAAACCGCTCGCCATTATTAGTCTGGTAGTAAAGGTCGTGCGACTGAAGTCTGAAAGAACCATCAAGGGAATAATGCATATCTGCCATAAGGCTATGTGAAGACTCCACGTCGAGCGATATCGAGGAGATGGAGGAAATGATGAGATCGAAATCATCCGGGTCCTCGGCTTTTTGCAGAGGTTGGAGCTTTATACGAACTACAGGTTCGTGCATAGAGAACTTGTAATTCGCTTTGGGCAGTAGGCGCGAGATCAGATGATGGTTGTCATTCTGCGCTCTTGGTGCTCTAGGTTTTGACTTGAATAAGGCGATGAGGAGCGGTAAATGATGAGGGTCCAGATCTACCGAAGGCGACGTAACGACAGAGTTAGCAAACATGATGTTGGCATTTCTTTCGTCAACTGTGCTGGCTCGCAGAACTTCAACAGTCTTGGAGAGTAGTGTCGTCTTGATCGTCGTCGTAGCCATCGGAACGTAGAGAAGGCGTTCAGGTTGACCATGGCCATCGTCCAAACCGACGGAGATAGACAGAGCAGCAGCTAATGCCTCGTGCGCAATTGCCTCGGCGGGGAAATACATCCTGTGCGCTGGTGACTTGGAGTCCAACCTGTGAAGATCTATTCCAACCTCTTTCATAGCTGCGTTCAGCTGGATTGGGGTAGACCCAGGCTTGATAGACTGGATCTTCTTGCTCATACCCAGAAAGCTCACAGCAAACTGAATTTCCTTGATGCCGCGCAGGATGGAACTAAAAAATTCTTTGGAATCAGAGACCGTCCTCATCAAGTCCTCACTCGTTGTTCCAGGATCATCTATTTCCTGTGCAACCTTGCCCAAGAAAATATCCACAGGCTCCTCCTCAGCCCCAGGAGTTTTAACCTCAGCTCTCCGTTGCTTGAGTCGGCTCATGCACGTTTGCATATCATCGAACGGAATGTGTAGTCGACCCATCTTGATAGCCACGGCGGCTTCGCGCAAGCCATCCATGGACTTGTATAGGTGCCCATGAACGTTGATGAACAACTGGTCGAGAATTTCCATAGATTCATTTCCTTCAGCTGTGAACAAGACGCTGCGCAACGAGACAGTCCATTCTGCTTGTTGATCCTTGCCATGGCGATCAGCTAGACGGGCGAAGAAGCGCACACGATCGACCATCTTTCGGCGCGTATCGACCGCGAGAGTGAAGCTTCCGACCTGGACATTGCCCACATCAACAATGTTCACAGCTGAGTTTGTCGCAACCACGTCGACCAGCTTGAGCCAACTGATATTCCTATGCAACCGCTTGATTTTTTCTTTGATATTCGTAAGTTTCTTCCATGTTTCGCTTCGGACAACCGTGCTCGTAGCTCGTCGCGGTAGCTGTGCTTGTTGTCGGGCAGTAGTTTTGGCGTCCGGTTTCTGATCCTTCGACGTTTCGGCATCGCTGTCCTCGGGGTCTACGTCGACCCGTTTATTTCCTTCCAGCTCGTTGATGTCTAGTGTTACGGCGAGCTCGCTCAGGACAATACTGAGCCATGTTGGCTGGGCGAAGGTTGGTCGATGAACGTGGAGCCCCAGGCCCCTAATTTCTATCCTACATCCATCTCGGGGTGTATATGCTAGTCGGCGCAAGGAGAAGTAACCAATTCTTTGAATAGAGATACCGGTAATAATTCGAAAGACGGCTAGGAGGACGAAGGACGATAGGTATAAGAGGACTAGACAGCCGAAGACGAAGGTCGGGTTGAGGAGAGCCATGTTGCGAAGGCCCCCACGAGCCTCTCCCACCAAGTCAACTGCGAAGAGACATGGAATTAGCTACGAGCGGTGTAAGGTGGCGTGGTATCGCAACTTACGTTTCCTGCTTATGGAAGAGATATCATGCCTTCACTTTGTATGCAACCAATTGATAGGCGGGCTATGCCATCGCCGCGGGCTTTGGTCTAGTGAGGTGTCGATTATTGCCGGGTTTTGAGTTCCTGGTTGGTACTCCCGTTGAGGTTTCGACCGAACGGTAACGCGCAAAAGGATGCGCTGTGGGTAGAACGTTGAAAGGTTGAAGTATATATCCTCGAGTCTGGAGCAGGGATGCTTGGCGGACAGCAGAGCGGAAAGTAAATTCAAAGCTGGCGTATTTATCGGGATCGACGGGAAGTATATCGAAAACGCGATGCTCTAAGGGGATTCGGGGAGATTTGTGACGTCAAGGGGGTCCGGATCCACGAGGATTGTAGGTTGTTAGGAAAAGGAGTGTTACTCTGCCGTAGGAATACAAGGCAGAGACGGATGCGAAAAACGGTGATTCCCTTGGAATCGTAGCTTTTGGCGGGGGATATGCAAAGTTATTAGGTTCAGTAGGGTGTGAAAGGAAAGGAACGGCTATGGTCCGAGATACGTAGCGTTGAAGATGGACGGATATTGGATGGCGATGGACTGGATTGGTCGCTTAGACCTATTCGTCCGTCTTTGGACGAACTGCTTACAATCCACGGAGCGATAACGAGTACGTACTGACTAACTGCTGCATGCACCCAGGTCGGTTCGATTCGAGAAGGCCTCCACTCAGAGGACTCCAAGCTGAAGCCACGAGCCTCACTTCGTTAGATCAGTTAGGGCAGAAGCACGGGCCTAGCTCATTAGCAGGGAACAAACGACGTACGTCGACGGAGTACTAGTAACTAAGACATTTTATTTGTTGATGATCACCAATCTCAACAACTCCGCAGTGTTGCGACTGTCGACATTAAAGGAGATATTACCTACTTTCATGATACATTAAATGTATTCATCTCCCTTTTTGACACCGGGTAATGTACCATACTAAGGATCTCCATACCAGCCTTATCAACAACCGTCAGAGCCGATCTTCCGTTTGAACCGCATGTACTGTACTGTACCACATACGAGCGTTAGAATTTTCCCGTGCCTTATCAACAAATAACGACAGTGCTTTTCTTTGTCATTGGTTACCCATTCTTCCAGTCAAAGTGCGGGGAATGCACGTTTCTTTGAGTTCCGTGGAGGACCGGATATTCATCTCCATGAACTTTGTATGTAATTGTTTTTATTTTAAGTTTCTCATAGATATACGCAATAAATTTCTCCTATGCCATTTAAACGCACAAGTCATTTTGCAGCACTAACATACTCGTTCACAGCAAAGTTTCAAGTCTATCTGCAACGTTCCTCCAGGCACTTCGAACTCGGGCCACATTATCAACATACACCCCATTGTAGCAATGATGGCTTCGTTACCCTAGCGCCACCAAAACGTGCGCACCATCAGGCATGAACCTCGACAGTCAGGTACAAAAAACAACATTTATCGCTGCCAAGTCACACAAGACTGTCGCTCCGTTGCTCCCCAGGGGGGTTGTTTGTTTCGTCTACCACAAATTTCGACTCAGTTCCTTCGAGCTGCGTCATTCTTGCTTCATTCCGCTGTGACGGTGATCCAACTCGTAATACAGTGGCGTGTCATAGCATTGTCGTATCATCCCTCCCTGGCAGTTACTCAGTAACAATACTCGTTACGGGGTTGCATTGAACAGTGAAAGTTGTTGGGTTATGCGTTGTCAGGGTGAGAGAGTCAATATTAGTGAAGGATACAAACACGCAAAACTCTCTGTGTATGCTCAGTTCAGCTTCTACCATGATTGGATATCTAGCATGTCAAGGCTCTGAAACAGCGGAAATCCAGCTAATGCTGACTAGTCGTTGGTTTCACTCAGCAATTACCCGCATACCTTGTCAAGGAAGCCGATCATTAGGATGTTCTGCATCTTGCTAGCAGATTGTATGCCGCTTTTCTTATAGCCAATTGTCTTTTCAGGCCAGCGAACAGACCATGGAATTCAACGGATCACGACGAAGTCAGAGATGATTGGATCAACTAAAACGTGGGTATTATTATGTTGACGAGCCTTACTGTTCTTCATCTTCGGCCTGCTTTTTCAATTCAGCGATGCGATCATCAATAAGCGCAATATCAGCATCTATCCTGAGCATCTTTTCTGACATCATATCCCTATACTCCTGATCCGTAAGCTTCTTGAGCGGAGTCCAACGAGTCCAGAACGATTCGTTCTCATCTTGAACCTTGGGCTTTCGAGCTGCCATTCGGTTTGCGATCATCTGACCACCAGCTCCCACTGTTGTCCAGACAAGCATCGCGGGAAGAATGTTTTTCGGTCCTCCTGGTCACAGGGTCAGTAAGAAGAAAGCCGGGACAGTGTGGTATGACTTACGGATCAGGCCACCAACCGAACCAGCTGCTGTGCCAGCTATTGCGCTGGCAATCGTCTTGTCGCCATTTTTGAGTCTTTCTTCACCGCCCCATGCTTTTACAATAATACTCCTGGTGACTTGAAATGTCAGTCGATTAATCAACATTAACTGGAGCGAATAAACTTACACCAAAAGCTCGTTCCCAAAGTAAACCATTGAAATCCAGAGACTGCTCCCCAGATAATGGGATTTGCCTCTTTGAAGATTGAGCCTCCGACGCCTGCCAAAACGCCTGCAGTCCCTGCTTGATGTCAATATGGGTTGTGCGAGGACGCATAGAAGCAGCTTACCGGCGTAACCACCAAATTTCAATGGAGGTACCACGAGGTCAACAACCTCGGGAGAAAACAAACCACGAGATGACTGCCGTTGGCGTAAAGACACCATTTGAGGATCTTGATTTCTATCGTTGGCCATGATGCGGATGTGTATGAGGATAGATATGGAGAAGGCGGGTGAGGAGAAGAAGAGGATCAATCTGGGTTACTCCACAGGGACTGATATAATTACAATATTAGAAGGGAAAGTAATAATGTTACATGGCTCGCTTCGCCGCCGCCATTTGTCAAACTCGATAGTGAGGTTGATGAGGCTCTCGCTGTATCTCGATCTCAAGTTTTCCTAAGCAGGCAAAGGCCAATCGTAGAGAGCCACCATAAGGTTGGGGATGAAAACCCGTGACATGACATGGGCCGTGGGCCAATTGGGTGGGCTTCAATCGGCACATACATAAGGTACTGTCTGTGAGCTGGTGTACTTTGGAGGGACTTTGGCTCGTGAAAGGCTATAATTGCAATGAATAGTGATAGAATAATATGCAATAAATTGTCAAATTTGGCAAAGAGATGGGCTGAATGACAATTGATGAATGCTTATTTCTCATTATTACTTGAAACTCTTGTGTGGAAATTATGAGCCTTCTGGATCTTTATCAAGGGATCCAATTGTACATGTTGCGTAAAGTACCTTGTGAGAAGGAATTAGGTTTCTTTTGTAATGCGTTGGCTTGATGTATCTGGCTGAGATCTCATAGGTAAGCGTTGTTAAACAAAACCAATTGCTTGAATCTCGAATTGTAACTACAGTTTCTGGGTCTTTTAGGGGCTGTTACTGGTGCTTCTGAGGAAATGCAAGCGAGACATCAATCGAGTGGAGGGGTTAATTGGTGGGTCACGCACTAAAAAGGGCTAGCGCCCACTTCAGACCTGGACTGGCAAAATTAAGGCAACCCTCAACTGGCGCCTCCATCATCATTTTTTCCCATACGCCGAGCAAATTTCAACTCGTCAACCCCAGACACGGCAACGTTAGTCGGGGCACATCAACACTCTGCAACGCAAGTTTCTCGACAGAAATACTCGACATTCCGGTATTCGGTTCTCCCGTTCCCGGCTACAAAGCGATCCGATCTCGTTATCCTCACTGAAGCGAAAGCTGAAACCCCGGTCGGCTTCGCCCTTTGCATTCGTGCGCGCATCGGTCCTAGAATCGTTGCGCGTGTTCGCCTAACCGCAATCATGGGTGAGCACCCCTCTATGAGAGTTCGACATGTCTTATAAACAATTGCTAACCTCTCGCCAGCTCCTAAGAAGAAGGAACAGCAGAAGATGTCCCTTGGGGACTTTCTGGCTGACAGTATGTCCCGCCCCTCGCCTGTGCACCCCGCCGCACAGCGGACTTGGCTGCAATGCCCCTCGTTGACCCCATACTGACTTGGACTTATAGGTTTTGGTGGAGGTTCATCTTGGGCTGATGAGGTAGAGGAAACCTCTTACGGTAAGCACCTTCACTTCAAATCTATATCTGTGTTCCATCGCTAACTCATTCTTAGTCACTGGTATGTCCTATTGCTTTCGTACGATACTTTCGACCCACGGTGGACTGACCATTTTCAGGCACTCAGGCTCTGCCCCCTTCCGACCGCCCTCGGTATAACAACAACGCTGCTTCCAGCTGGCAGGACCGGGGTATGTTTTGATGTCGCGGTAACCTGATCTTCCAAGCTAACTGGCGCAGGTTTCTCCGTTCGCGAAGCTGCCCCTCAAACCCTCCCCGACAAGCCTCCCTATACCGCTCACTTGGGCAATCTTTCCTACGATGTTACCAACGACGCTGTGGGAGAATATCTCGCTGACTGCGGCGTTGTCAACGTCCGCCTTATCGAGGATCGTGAGCTGCAACGCCCTAAGGGTTTCGGTTATGTCGAATTTGAGACTCTCGACGGCCTCAAGAAGGCTCTTACCTTCGATGGCGAAAATTTCAACGGGCGAATGATCAAGATCAAGGTCGCCGATCCTCGTAAGTTTGCATCTGTCCCTTAGACCTCAAATTTTATCTAACAATCTACTACAGCTCGTGGCGGCGATCCTGGCCGAGGTGACTCTATCCGTGAGATGGGTAACTGGGACCGTAAGGGACCTCTGCCTGATGCCCCTTCAAGGGGTGGTGCTCGTGATTTCGGTGACCGTGAGCGACGACCTCGTGATCCTGCTTTCGAGTCTCGTCCCCAACGTGAGTTCACTTGGGAGAGACATGGACCCCTGGCTCCTCTCTCTCCTCAAGAGGGTTCCGGATCCCGAGACGGAAGCCGCCCCCGTGCTTCTCCCGATGTGCTTGGTGACCGTAGTGAGTCTTACCGAGGCAACCGCCGGGACTCTCCTGCCTGGGGTGAGGCTCGCGAGGGTGGTTCTCGTCCTCGTCCTGAACGCCCTGAGCGACCGGAGCGAACTGCCACTGCTGCTGAGAAGGACATGCAGTGGCGCGAGAGAATGCGCCCCGATGCCGCCAAGGCTGCCTCTCCCGACGGTAGCGCACCCCCATCTCCCGCTCTTTCTAACGCTGCACCTGCCCAAGGTGGTCGTCCTCGCTTGAACCTCCAGAAGCGAACTGTCTCCGAGGCCCCCGATGCTTCATCAACATCCCAGGGCTCTGATGCTAAGGCCAGCCCCTTCGGCGCCGCTCGTCCTATCGATACCGCAGCAAGGGAGAAGGAGATTGAGGTCAAGCGCCTGCAGGCTATCCAGGAGAAGAAGGAGGCCGATGAGAAGGCCAAGGAGGAACGAAAATTGGCGAAGGAGGCTGCTGCCAAGGCTGAGGCGGAGGCTGCTGAGGCCGCTGAGGCCAAGGAAGCCGCTGAAGCTGCTCAAGCTGCCGAGGCTAAGGAGACACCTGAGACAACCCAAGAGGCAACAGAACCCAAGGCTGAAGGTGCCGAGGGTGCCAATGGCGAGCAGAAGGTTCCTATCCGAAGCCGCGAGCCCCGAGAGGGTGCTCCCAAGTCAAGAGCATCTGAAGCTTCCAGCTGGCGCTCTGCCTCAAACGATCAGCGAGGACCCCGTGGAGGAGCTGGACCCCGAGGCGGCCGTGGTGGCCGTGGCGGTATTCGAGAGGCACGGGCTGGACCTCTCCGCTCCAACGGATCAGCTGCTCAACAACCCGCCTCCACTGATGCCGAGCCTGCTACACCCACAGCTGACGACGACGGTTGGACCACGGTGCCCAACAAGAAAGGTCGCCAGGGACGTGCGATGGCACCCTAGAATGTGTACCAATCGCCTCGTTTCTCTATGGTTTGACGACTGAGAATGCCTGTTACAAGATGCGAGTCACCTAGCTCGTAGATAAGAGTAGTGATCATCTTGGACTTTGCTATTTTCTCGTAAATGACACCCATCTTACACTCGATTGCAAGCGATGGTTTCAAGTCAGCTCTAAACAAGGCTGGTTTGAAACTTGCTGTCTGCTCTTCTCGTTATCCTCGACAATCTCGTATTACAGGTTGCTCAGGGCATGGAATTGAAATCTCTCCGCCGGTTCTAATCGACCACGGCATCCTGTTTTCCTCGTCTGACCGCCACACGTTGGACTCACTCATGATCAACCTCGACACCTACTTCACTCGTTCAGGGGGTTGAAGAGGGCATTTTTGAGCATTTGACCTTTGGCGTTTCGAGACAAAAGCAAAAGAATGGCGGCGAATGGATGGATGGATGAACGGATGGATGAATGGACTGAAACGTGGCATGCATTTGAATGATCACAGCTCTTTTTTTATCTCTTTATGTTTTCCTTTTTTTTATTACACTTTTTTGATTTCCCCCCAAAACGTCTAGGCCGCGTGCTGACTTCCTTGATTGATGAATATGAGGGAGAGGGTGAAAAGCAGGAGAGGGACTCAAAAAGTTTGCTTGCTTTGGCTTAACGAACACTGAGGCAAGGCTACTATAGGCAGTTCGTTTTCTCTAGACTCGGCAAAGATGATGAGACGTCGACTCTTACGATATGAACTCGGATCTGTATGCTAGGCGGTTCATGGGATCAATGAAATGTCCTGTTATTTATTTATCTCCCATTGATGTGGTATGGTGTGGTGTCTTTGTGTGTCTTTGCTGGTTTCTCAATGAGGTCTTGGTGTTTATTTATGATGCTTTTAGAAGGGGTGAGGACTGTGTGTGTGACTATAGACGAGTAATGAGCACATGAAATCTCCTCTCATGCTGATCCCTTTCATTACCGCTCATGATCCCCTGTTGGAGGTAACCTGGCTTATTTATTTGCCTCATCTTCCTCCTTCCAAAGTCTGAACCCTTCGAGGACGTTCCTCTTCACGCCCTCACTCACAAACTCCAACTTCTTACCATCCTTGAACTTGTTCTGCAGTGCTTCTTCCTCTGTCACCCACGCAAACTCGACATGTTCATTCTCATCGATCTTGACCTCGTCACAGCTCTCCACCTCGACCCAGACCGTTAACTTTCCCCAAACTCCATCATCTGCACGAAACACAAGCATATCATACAGAACCTCCAAGTCCTTCTCTAGAGGGTCATCAGGCATCGGCTCTGTGCTAGGTGCAATTCCTACCACGGCTTTTACAGCCTTTGCGCGTAGTCCAGCTTCTTCCCAGAGTTCACGCACTGCTGCAGCAACAAGACCAGCGTCTGAGTCATCGACACAACCACCGGGGACTTCCCATAGTAGAGGCCAGGAGTCGTGAGCTGCGCGGCGGAGAAGAAGGATTTGGCCTTGGGGATTGGTGACTAGGGCACCAGCGATGAGGTGCTGAATTGGTGGGTGGGCAGGTCGGAAGACATCTGGTGTAGAGGCGAAGGCCTCGAGGGAGTCGGGTTGTGTGTAGGATAGCGGAGGAGAAGGTGAGGCTGGCATTATGAGGGTTGGTGATATGTGTTGATTTTTTTCCTAGTTGTAGTATTTATAGTCTTGAAGAGTTTATATGTTTGATAATCGATACCTGGTTTAGGCTGCGAGTTGAAGATGATTGGTTAGGAAAGAATTACCGCGCATAGAATTGTTAAGCACTGGGCACCAAGGATGAATAGAGCATGTGATAGTGAAGCAAAGGCTCTCCCTAGAAAGAATGCAGAGTAAATTGACTCTTGGGGGCTTTGTATTTACCAAAGTGAGTTGTCTGGATTTGAGTCTGTAGTGTTAAATGTGTGAGTCAACCTCGTCTTACAGCTGACACTTGTGAGACAACCCGGCATCCAACTACCAAGGCTACTGCATATCACTGCATAAATCACATTCTCGGTCAAGATTTACATGCGTCTATCGTATTCCTTGGTAACATTGTAATGTATTGCAGAGCCTGAACAGCCCTTCTACCTGTATCCTTTCTCAATAGGTATAGTCCTATTCCTTGTGATATACCCAAATTGTACTCTATGTATCAACGCCTCTCATCTCTCAAGAGCCTTGTCGTCCAAACGCCAACCCAGACATGTATCAGTCAGTCAATCGTACAGTACATCCACCCGCTTATTAAAAAAAAAAAATGCTTGCGTGCTAACCCGAACCTCAAAAAGCATAGAAACGAACCACCACTACCTTACTCAGGCACCTACGACATTTTGGCGCCCATCTCTTCCATTCCGTATTCATCCCACTCGTCATCACCTCCGAGTTTTCTGCCTATCCAGATACCAATGGCTGTTATGAGGCTGCCTACGAGGAACCAACCTTCGAACCAACCATCCACAAATGCAGGACTCAAGGCACCTCGCAACACGCTTCCGACCGCTGAGCCCAAGGCAGACGGCAATTGACTGCGGAGGAGAAGTGAAGCTGAGATGACATAAGTCGCAGCAATCTGTCCAACAACCAGCGCCAGATTCGCTTGTGCTTGGCGGAGCAGGCCTGGAGTCCATTTAGCAAACAGATGGAACGTCTGGACCACACTGTTGGCGCTGGCGAGGAGAATGACGCCGCTAAGAGCAAAGCTGATAAGTCGTGCCCATGCTAGTTGATCCAACTTAGGATCCCAATGTCGCGCAAGAATACTAAGAAAGCGGTTGATGGGATCCGTGTTGGCGAAACTTGATGTAGGTGAATATGCTCGGCGAATAGTCGTTATTGTAGTTGCGCCAATGCGGTACAGACAGTACAAACTGAATAGTTGCGAGGGAATGAGAAGGAGACGTCCAATGGATGTTGAGGCGCGAACTGTGGCAGCCCGGTGGCTCTTGAGTAGGGAAACTCCTGAAGCCAGGTTGGCTTCCATAGTCTCCAGGCCAGCAATTTCTAGGCGCAGGGATCGCATCTCTGCCTCATCGCCAGTCGGACCACGTAGAGAACCCATGACTTTGCCAACAAGGCCACTACCCTTGGCAGAAGCTCCATTCTGAGCACCAGATGTCTTGCGCTCGAGGTATTGCAAACGATGACGCTTGGTGAGAAGCATCTCGTTGGCGGTATCCAGACCAGCTTGTTTTCTGGCAACATCAGCATCGGTAACAGGTCGTTTTCGACGGGTTGTAAGATCCATAAATGCCTGCCATGGTGAAGAAACAGCAGCGAAGCCAGACAGTAAAGCCATCAGTGAGATACCGACAACACCAATACGTTCCAGGCATCCGCGCGTCAACATCTCGGATAGGCTTCCACTTCCATTGCTTGTCCTGCGCATCGCGCCCTCGGGAACAGCCTGGCCAACGGACCAGAAAGCAAACAACCATCCCATAAACAGAGCAGTTTGTAATCCCCAAGCGACTCGAGGGAGTTTTCCCTTGGCAGTCCTCTGAAAACTCCATCCAGCACTCGAAACAACCGATCGACACTCGAGCCAAGGTACTAACACGACCAGCAAAAACAGCAAGCTCGGCACCGTTATTCTCAAAGCCAAATTTCTCGAGTCGGCGTTGACAACCTCGATGATTTCGTCCATGATCAGCGCGCCCAGTGTAGCAGCCAATCCCACAGTAAGACCAAACGTCCAGGCTGCGCCGCGCCGTCTCCAGCTCTTGGCACCATGTTCTGCGTGAACTTGTCGCAGACACGCTGGTGCATGTGCAGGTAGAACGTGATCTTCACCGTCGCGAGAATCGGCATCACTGCTCAGCCGGGGAAAGACATGTCGAACGACGAGGATCGATGTCGAGATGCAGATGAAGAGGAATGGAAGGGCGGCGATGGACGAGGCGAGTGTGACAGGGCGGGGTTGAATTTCGCAGGCATCTTCGCCGCAGCGAGTAAAGGGCCACATTCTTTGTGAAATTGAAATTTATATCGTTATCGAAGTAGAGTGAGTCGTGGTGATGATCATCGATGTTGGCGCGGGGCCAGGGGAGTATATCGTTCTTTGTGTACTCGTATGCTCGTGGGCATAGGAATGTCAGAGTAAGTTATTTTAATCGGGGTCTGGCGGCGGCGCAGCAAATCCTCCCTTGAGTTCGTATCATCAGAGGAGGGGATGGTCAGTATCTAACTGAAATGGACTGAAACGTTGCCAGTAACTCAAGTTATCCCTTGAGCTTGAGCCCCTCGTAGTGTAGCGTAGCGCCGTTGCGACAACTCGTATCAAAGAAGAGATGTCAAGCGACGTCACTTTAAGGGTCCTTTTTTCGCTTTTTCCTTGGCAATTTGATCAATCAATAAGTGCAGTCGCCTTTAACTTTGTTTGTTGTACAGTATTTGAGTTTTCAAGTCGAGAATTGTTTGACTCGATGCTTGGAATTAGCCCCTGGGTCTAGAACTGAGAAATGGTGGCTTACGTCGTCGCGCTCGTTTCCCTGCAACTTGGTCGCACATGAGTGACGTGTTGATGCCTCAGGTTACACATCTTCTGCCTGATTAAGGGTCCTTGCATGCTACGTGCGGCATCATGACATACATGCAACAGACTTGCATTACATTAGACGCACGCACGTGTATGATAGATTTGAATCACCGACCTCGGCGCACGGCCATTAGTTATAACCCCAAACTTCATATAAGTTTCAACCGTGGTACGTATCAAATAGCTAAGAATTGTAACATCTATCGCTGTGGAACATCATTTCGAAGCGCTATTAATTTCTAAAAGAGCCAATTGGATAATCATCAATGCGTGATCTTATCCCACTAATTCCCTTTCAGCCAGACCTTGAGCCTAACATAGAACATAGAGGGTCGCACAAACATGTAATAAATCCGGTGCAGCAACTTTTGAAGCAACTTGCCCACAATGGCCAACTGCTGGGACGGGTCCTCGCTTCTGCCACGTTGTGTGGTTCGCTATCATTCTCTTCATTATTGTTGCTATTGCCATCGCCATCACCATTGCCACTTCCAGATTGGTCATTATCTTGAACCTTTTCGTCACTGTCTCCCTTTTGCAAGTCTGTCGAAGGATATCGTGTGTTCGGTGGAGCTTCAAGACCCTCCAACTCAATAGATGAGCCTTCGTCCTGAGTACTCGGTGCTTGGTCTCCTGTGGACGACGTGGATATCGGGACTGAAGGAGTCTGTGTAGTCTTTGGAGCAACATCCGGCCCTTCAACGGGTGGACTGGAAGTTTCTTCTTTGTCCTCGCTTTTTGGATTGCTGGGAACTTTGAGCTGCTTGTTTTCGACCCGAGAATGCATCGATGCTTCATGCTTTTGGGGCGCTATTTCCTACCAAGCTCCACGCGATGAGTGAAACCCTGTATCGAAGTTGAGCATACGCTTTTGTAAATCATCCATATGTTGGAGCTCGCTTGTGTCGCACTCTTCTTCCAGAGATGAGAGACATCTTTTTGCTGCTAACTCTGACTGAGTAACTTGAAGAGGCTGGTTATTCTCCTGGGAGGATCTGTCGGTGCTTTCGACGGTTTCATCTCCCATGCTATTCTTATGCTTGTTATGGTCTGTTCCTAGTTTCTGCTTGCCCTTCATCTTCTATGATGTTCCTTTCGGGGCTGAGGGGGTATCATCTTCTTCATCAAGTTCCTCATCCACCTTCATCTTGAATGCTGCTGCTTCACCAACCTCCATCTTATGAAGCTGATCCATCTTCTGCTTATCCAGGGCTTGTTGCCCGCTCATGACCTCGAACTCTCCAGAGTCGTCGTCGTCGTCGTCGTCGTCGTCATCGCTCTCAGCGGCGACACTGACATCATCTTTAACGACTCGCTGGTTCTCCGCGGCTTCATTAACAGGGCCAGTAGCAGCAGTAGGGTCGGTGGATCTGCGATTCGGTATCTGGCTATGGTTGAGAGGCTTAATCGTAGGATCGAAAGACGCAGGTAGTCCTAAAGCGCGTGCGACCTGATGCGCTTCTTCGTCGGGCGAGTTTTGGACCTCGAGCTCATAAATGCTACTTGCCTCACTATCGGCCTCATGCTTTCCGGCATTTGCGGCCAACATGCTCACATAGGTCTGTCGGGCAGAGTCGTTGGCACGTTTGGCCTTCTTTTTGATGCGCTTTTCGGTAGGTCGAACCACTACCACAGGGACAGGTGAATATTGGAGACAGTATTTGGAAAACGAGTTGCGGGTGTTGACCAGGCCTTGAAGACCACCGAGGGTGCGTCCTCTAGTCCCCACAATGAGCATTGCAGGCTGGTACATCTGGATCTGGGATTTTGTCAGCACTGAAACTTGGCAACGGAGGTATCTCCTCTGTTCACGTACTAGGACTTGAAAAGTCGTGTGTAACTTGCCCACGGCATATTCAAGGACAATGTTGATGGCTCTGTTATTGCCATTCCGAGCAACAATCCCCTTCATAACCGATTGCGCATCGTCCCTGTACTGCTTGTCCGTGAGCCGCAGTTCTTTTTCGACTACTCGCACGCAAACAACTTCGTCACCGTCATCGACCAGTTCGTCGAGCAGCCACTGCAACGCATAATCGGAGTAGGTATGCTCGTCAACCCCAACCATAAAACACCGCGATCTGCGCCTAGCCTGGTAGCCCTTGTGTCGAACATTGAGCGTAAATGAGATAGCATTATTCTTCGTCGGTTCGCCGGTTGGAACATTGTCAAATGCGACATGTTTCTGGAACCTATCGGGCGGGGTCTCAGTTAGCGTCGCCATTGTCGTGAAAATGCCACAAAACAGAGACTGAGAACAATAACGATGGTTTTTAGAGGTAATTGTAGGATGAGCGGGGAAGCGGTAATGAGAGATGGAGGTTAAAAAATGTCAATGACGATTGCGTCGACGGCAGGAGTTGAGAGTTCTGCGGGAATTTGGGGGCTGACGACTTGTCAGTGGCTGTGATGAAGGATGATGGCCTGACGATCCAGACCAAGCAGGTGGTAGTCAGAGGCGAAGACCATTTCCCCACGTCTACTGGAAGCTTTGTCGCAAACGGCGGGGTAACCATAATTGATAGTGGGAGGTCAGCGGTGGAGTCGAAAGGTTATTGTGAGGAATGGTCCAGCCAAGCAACCCAGTTCCACCCAAAGCCCGGGCAGGTTCCATCAATACGTGTCTGTAGTGAGTTGTCTTGGACTTGCAAGTTTGATCACGAGTGGATGTTCCAACAGTCGATGCAGCTACCGCAATGCTCGTATCCCACCTGGATGGAATGGCCGACCCATGTGAACCGAATTATTGATTTCGAAGGTAACACACAGTCCACGCGACATGTTGCTTGGCATGGCGTCACATAAGGTAGGTTTCCAGCCGGACCAATTTGAAACCAGTTTGGTCGATATTGGTACGTAGTACGCAGTACGCAGAATGAAATCCGTTGGTGAAATAACGATTCAGCTTCAAGAAAAAAGAAAGAAAAAGAAAAAACCAGTTTGCACCACAACGATGCACATGGGGATATTTGGCAGTTAAACATTGCCGTACCGTTCAGGCCGACATATGGTGGCAAGTGCAATCCAGTATCGGGTTGAAGATATTGGTATTCGATCACAGCAAACACTCATGCAATGGGAGGGGGAAAGATGAAGAAAGATTCTGCATACCTTAGGTGGTCGGGCGAACTCGCTCGGATGCGATGATTGTTCATCTGTTGTGGATTTCCTTGGGGAAGTTGAGGATTTGTCATTCGACGAAAAGACACAGAGCCGGTGGATGATTTCCTTTGAATCATCGAGTCCTGGCCTGGTGCCGAATTTTGGTTGCTTTCACGGCTTGAGCTACGGCCCTCTCGAGGATCTGGTGCGAAGGAAATGCTCGACTTCCGAGCAGATGAATCGTCGCCGTCGCTGGCCCGGACACTAGTATTGGAACCATCGACTGTGTTGGAGTCTGGGAAGTAATCGGCCTTTGCGTCTTCTGAAGCTGAGTTTCTGGGAGGGTTCACCGTTCTGGGAGAGACATCCGAGTCGGAGCGCTTGGGTGGGTTTGGGTGAATCGTTGCGGCTGTAGCCATGTTGCCTACGATACTGCGTCACAGAAGACGCGATCTGGTGGCAAACCGAGTTCAGCTTGAGGATCGTGCCGAGTCGATACGTTCAATAGTGATCGTGTATATCTGAGAACGAATGTGTGCAAGGCTGAACAATAATCAAGCTTACTGACAGTGAAGCTTGATGGGGATAAAATGGATGTATGATGATGGAAAGCCAAGGTCAAAGGAGAGGTTCTGTAAGTGCTTTCTGGTTGATGAGAAAGGAAAGAAAGCTTGAGCTTGCACGGAGCTGAGCTTCAATCAAGTGTCTTGGTAGTTCCTTCCCAAGGGTATGTATGCGTATTGCCAAGATACAACTGCCGCCAAGACGGGGGAGGCTAACCAGTTGATGGGTAAGCTTGGCTTGGCTATTGATTTAGGGAAACACCAAATCACAAGGAGGAAGGGGTGGGCGCGGCTGAGGAGTCAAGTTTGTGACGTTGAATGACGCGGTTTCGAAGTCAAGAAAGGAAGATGGGAGCTCAAGTTGAGATATAGATGCGGGCGCAAGTTGAGACGCGGAGCTTGAGCTAGGATGCAACGCCGAGGTCGATCAGATCTGGCGGAGATAGTGGTAGAAAAGGTGGAGAAGGACCTCTACAATTGATTCATCAATAGACCGAACCTGAGTGGCTGTGAGTAGAGAAGAAATGCAAGTCGTCGTAATAACGGAGATGATAGTCGGAGGTGGCTGTGGTGTTGTAGCCTGGGCCTTTCTGAGGGAGCGGAGCTGATAGTGGCCGCAGATTACGGTGGAAGGCAGGATAGCGAATAAATAAAAGCACAGTGTAATATCGACTATTACGGTGAGTAAGTCGACTCTTAATCTTTGTAAGAGGGTCGAGTGAGTAAAGTCAGAAGACGGTGTGGGCGTTTGCGTTTTGTTTGCAGTCAGTTTGTAGGTGGAAGAGATGAAGCCACAATCAAGGCATAGGTCAGCCGAGATTCAGCCCAAAACAATAAGATTTTAAGGTTATTGCCAGGGAGCAGCGAGACCACGTTTTCAGATCTTGGTTTTTAGGTTTAGGATGGAAGGGACAAAGACCAAAGACGGGTGGGTGGGAGAGTGGGAGGTCTAGTTTCACTATTGTTTCCTTAGGCAGAGAGAGATGTCATGATACGGTAGCGAGGAGGTCGGTAGCTGGATAATATGGGCTTGGTCACATTAAACGAGGGAGACAACGTGAGGAGGGAGACCAAAGAGGATGGGATGGATGATTGAGGGACGGTGCCGAACGGATCGGCCCTTGGTCCACGTCAGGACTGGCTGGGTGTAGGCCCGAAAGGGTCTGGGAGGGTTGAAATTAAACTGGGCAGCAACAACGTCAACAGTAGCGATGTATTATTATCAGCCGAGATTTGAATTTGTGATATATTACAGAAGCTGTGCGTGCGTGAGAACGTGCGTTGGAAAACCCGTTCAAGGGTTAAAATGGCGTGAATCTGCAGAGATCACCAACAGCTAATAAAAAGAGACTTGAGGTGAAAACAAGGTTGATGATAGCGAAAGTGCAAAACGTACAGCTGACGTAAATACGCCAAAGTAAGCCGTTGCAGTGCCGCTCTTCAGGGATTGGATGAATTACTGTGTGTGTGACAATGGAACTGCAGGCCAAGACACAGCTCGATTTGCATGCGAGAAAGCATGTGTTGGCTGGGCTGAACCATTGGTTGACCAGGATGAACCACGAGCAGGGTCTCTATCATTTTTGCAACACAGACACAGAGATAACAGAGAGGCAAGAGGCCTCTTGAATTTATCCAGAGAAGAAGAGGAAATGAACGACACGCGAGCATCTAGACCGGCCACAAGCCCACTCACACTGATACTGGCCCCAGGTAAGCAAGCAGCACAACACAACACAACGCTATTATGATCCCTGAGAGTTTTTGATCACATGGAAACTCTTTCAACTCTTTTTGATGCCACTCCAACAAGTAGGACAGCTTACCGGCGAATAGATATCCACTTAATAAGGGGCGCTTAGTTCGGCCGCCTTCCCCTCACTAATGCCACCTTGTTTGTTTGGGCAGCCAACAACACACAATGATCTTCTTGTGAAGTGAAGCTCAAGATACAAAATGGAAGGCAGCACAAATTTCAGATAAGGTGTCAATGTCTTGGCCCCGGCAACAATGTCCCGAGTGTGACTCCCACCGGTGACCGCCAAGAGCCCAGGCGTATCACGTAGCAAACTGTATTTGTGCAATGATATGTACCATGGCGGCGTCGGAACCGGTTCTTTGGGCACGATTCGGTACAAGAAGCCCTCCTTTGATCCCGCCCCCCCGGGCGGAGTCATCTCACGCTCGGGCTTCAGTGGAGAAGCACGCTAATGGTGGGGCCGAGCCGACTCAGAACAGAGCCTCTGCAGATGAATCCCTCCCATACGACGAGACGAATCAGCTTCAACGGCACTAACCAAACGGTTTTTACTATGGATCAATACCAAGAATTCCTCACTAGGCGGACAACAGACAGTTATGCAGGGAACCTCAAGCGAGAAACACTCAGCTCGTCACTCCTCTTTCTTTCGTGCAACTCTTCACCGCATCGTTTCGTTGCACCAGATTAATTATTGAGCCACTACCAGGCATAGCGTATCAACCAGTCGATTTCCTTATCGAGACCACATGAGTATTCCCTGTCCTTTCAGCTGTCAAAGTCAAAATATTCATCAGCCCTGTCATTATCCGACAGAGCAGGGGAAGACTACCTTAAGGTACGGACTATGGATACCGGTACCTCCACTCTAGGGCTACCGAAGAACCGGAATTTCGGGAGTTCTCCTGTGCACCATCGTGGTCTGACTCGACCACGTATATGTCGTTAAATACGGCGGTGAAGCTATCTTCATCAGCCACGATAACACAATGTCTCATTGCTTTTGCCAACTGTGCTAACCTAGGCTCTGGGAATCACGAGCCAATACACTGAGTGGCACAGACTCGGGAACACAAATGTCGAGATACATCTTGAACCTCTCAAGGCTTCATGTGCCCGAGGAGCATACATGTACTCACCAAAGGATTATAGGCATCGTCAAGCAGACCTGGGAGTATTATCAATAGTGCTGGGGGCAGGGCAAAGTTGCCCACAACATTTCCTCTTGTGCCTTAAACTAAGGAAGTCCTCTCCTACAAAGTCTTTCTTAGGATATACAATCGAAAACTTGGCTGACATGTTTTGGCTTCCCAGAGTGTGGCAGATTCCGAACTTGTAGCTAAGCATTCATGAAAACTGAAAGTCGGATACTAGCTCATCAAGCCTGCAATCGCTAAGAAACCAGACCTCGAAGACTGTCCTTCTTAGAGGGCAAGGAACTGGGAATTGATGCCCACGACAACTTGCGTCCTGCGACAAAGCAGTGTCATATATTACTTAGAGGACTTTCATTATCGCAACGCCACATTGATTCCCTTTTTTCTGGCTCATACCGCGCTAATCGATCATGCCACCTATTCAACGGTCCTCATCGATGAATGATGATGAGCCTCCTTCTGTCCGATACTAGCTGATGGCCGAACCCTGCAGCGCCGAAACGAAGTCTCCTCATATGGCTTTTGTCCATCAATGAGCTTCACTTTACTTGCAGCGAAGCAGTTCAGCCCAAAATAATGGGATATCTATTAGCTATTTGTTGACCATGACTATGGGCAACATGGGGACTGTTTTGAGATATCATTCGACGTGGCACGAACTCGGTTCAACATTAAAGCTTACGCAGTGTAATTACAGAGTGATCTGAGTGGCTCCAGCAAGGTACACAAAGCCATCGCCAATATTATGTTCAACTCAAGTAACCATAGCTCAAGCCCCAAGATAATAAAGAGGTTATTATGTGAATATGTGCAACATCTTCAGTGTCCGATCCAAGGTTTGTGGATTTGTGACATTTTCAGGTTTTGTAACGAGTCATTTAATTCCGTCATGGACCATCATATGATATCCGCACTCTTAGGGTTACAGTCAGTACATTTTGGAACCAGATTCTGACATATAAACCAAGACATGATCCTATTGTCATGGTTACATAATGACAAACGACTCGTGTCAAAATCATTCTCGGTTCTACGGGGAACTCGATGCAGACTGTAACTGCGCAGCCTGTACAACAACCGGTTTTCAGAATCTGCGTAGTTCATAATGGTGATATATATAGACTTTTAGGATCATGATATTGATTAAACGACTTTTGATTCCTTTTATTCTTCATAGCCTTTTCACAGGCTCTCGTACCTCTAGGAGGAAGTGCCATATCTCTGCCGCACATACAGCCAAACTCGAGAAATTCTCAAGCTCTTGCACGAGCATCACCAACTCCGAGACGCCTTTGCCATGCCATGCATCCTATCAAGTCGGCCTGCATAACCCCAGGTATTCTCCTGACCCTGGGTCGTTTGGAGGATTCAGCCGCAGCGCTCTGTGCGCTTGTTCCGGGCTTGAATCGAAGACCCCATGAAATGTGAGAAAAATGACTAGTCAGTTCTCTCTGTAGCACCTCAGTTATAGGTGCGGGACAGGTTTCGGAGATACCAGTCCACAAGCTTTCGTCCCACCTTAGCCTCAGAGATGTGAATGAGGTCCTGGAGAATTGTTAGTTTCTGTTAAGATAATGAATTGGGTTATGAAACTTACGCCTTGGAGAGCATAGTCAAGGTCGCTGACGTTGACGAGCTCACCCTCAAGCAGACCCTGGTCCTGCCATCGCAATTGCTTAGTTCGCTGCTTGGTAACCAGGAGCCATGATCGAAGCTCCTCGGGCTTCACCTCGAGAAAACCAGCGAGCTTGTTAAGATCCATGGTGGTGTAGAGGCGGAGGTAAGACTTGATGGTAGGGCTCCACATGTTGGTCTTGACCTCGTCCATGAAGACGGCGAGGTGGTGCTCGACGGGGTCGATGTTGGCCTCGGGGTTCTCAAAGTCCGGAGGAACGGGGGAGATGAACTTGGGGCACGCTGCGCGGAAGAGCTCCTCGAAGATGGGGAGGGACTCGGGGCCACCGCGCTGGAGCTTGAGAAGCTGATCGCCGTACTTCTCACGGAGGGCGCTGTGGATGGTGTCGTCCAGACGGGTGGGCTGGAAAGCGACGCAGATGGCAATAAGAGCGTACATCTGCTCGTTCTTCTTAGTGATAGAGTCGTACTGGGCGCTCTTCTGGAAGTTCTTGGTCCTCGAGACGTAGATGAGGATGTGGCTGAACATGCGGATAGCATCGGCGTAGCGGTGCTGCATCATGTAGGAGAAACCCACGTAGTAGTAGGTGGTGAAGTGAGCAGCCATGACTCGGGCGAACATGGCCTTCTTGTTGAGCTCGATGTCATCAAGGGTCTTGAGAGCCAGGCTGAAATCCCCGAGGAGACAGTGGACTCGGAGGAGACCAATAATGGAGAAGTAACCCAACATCTTGTAAAGGTTCTTGGAGCCATATTCACCGGCAACGGCCAAAGGATCCTCGTTACGCTTCATGGCGGCGAGCTGCTCGGTGATCTGGGATCGCTGGATAAGGGAGTACAGGACGTTGAGCACACTGTAGCAGCCCCAGGTGTTGGGGTTCTCGCGGAGAGATTGGCGCTCCTCCTCGTTGGTTGTTTGGCGGGCAATTCGCATACGGTACGAGGAGAACGAGTTGAACTGGTAAATGAACTCATCGATAACATCCCAAGCCCAGTAGTACTGCAGAAATATTTATTAGCCCTATCCAACTCAATATCTAACTTGGTGAGACCAACCGAAGGGGGCTCGAGATCGACGGGGCCCTCGGAGTTCAAGATAAAGTGAAACAAGCTGCAGTAAGCATCGTAGCTCTGGAACTTGGCCTCAAGAGGCGCCTGGAAATCGAGGGGCTGAGCGGCCTGGACAAGTCGAGCCTGGATATCGTCGGTCTGCGCGGTGAGGTTCAGAGAAGTGGTGCGGCTGAGATCATCACCATCCTCATACTGAACATGCTCTTTGTACTCGGCCACCAGAGCCTCCTCCTCGACATCACTGTCGTCATCGATGGCGCGGGCCGGAGCCACGCCGTTTTGGTAAGTAGCCATCGTGTCTTGTAGAGTCGAGTCGCGCGTCGGTCTCGCTCGTCTCGTCTCGTCGTCGCGGTGAGGGGGGAAATTTTATCAACGATGCGATTTTTTTGGTGAACTAGGGCTTCCGTTTGGCGGGCACACGCGGGGTCGATGCTTAGTCATTCAGATTTAGTGGGGTGCTTCAGCTTGTGAGCTTGAGAATTCAGCCTTTCAAGGTGTAGCAGCTTTTGCTAGACAAAAAGAATTACCTTAATTTTTGGGTGTCACAGGCCTTTTGCGTATGTATGAGTCATTCTTAGTCGATTTGCAGATATCCTGAGCCAAAAGTGCCTGATGAAGTCTGAATTTGCTGACCGTCGTGTGCAGTTAAGGATTAGATTAGTCACACTATGAGTAACTGCTAGGCAAAGTATCATTCAAACAACTACAAAGATCGATATAAACTTGGGTTTGGAAGATTAAAAGGCTTTAGAGCTACTGCGTCGTTGGTACAGCAGATTCCTTCTCCCCATATTTAGAAATTTTACTTGACATCCTCTATCTTGAACCCCACCATCACTACATCAACCTACCCTACTCAAATCACTGTCGTCATAATGCCTGTCGTCACTCCAGATAAGCTGGCGAGTCTGCAAAGACAGTCCAGTGATATTCGAAATGTCAGTACGGTCTTATGAACAGAAGAGTATACAGTCTAACAGCTTATAGATTTGCATTCTGGCCCACGTTGACCATGGTAAAACTTCACTTACCGATGCTCTCCTTGCCACAAATGGAATCATCTCACCAAAGCTGGCGGGCAAGATCCGCTATCTTGACTCTAGACCTGATGAGCAGATCCGAGGGATCACAATGGAGTCTTCCGCTATCTCACTCTACTTCGCCATGCGTCGGAAAGCAGCCCCCGATGCTGAGTCTGAGGACAAGGAGTACCTTGTCAACTTGATTGATTCACCTGGCCATATCGATTTTAGCTCAGAAGTCTCAACAGCCTCAAGATTGTGTGATGGAGCTGTTGTTCTTGTTGATGCCGTTGAGGGAGTCTGCAGTCAAACAGTCACTGTCCTTCGCCAAACATGGACAGAGAAGTTAAAACCCCTGCTCGTCATCAACAAGATTGATCGACTTGTGACAGAACTTAAGATGACACCAGGAGAAGCATATATCCACCTGAACAAGCTATTAGAACAGGTAAACGCTGTGCTAGGAAGCTTCTTCCAGGGCGAGCGTATGGAGGAGGATCTCAACTGGAGGGAAAGAATGGAGGAACGAGCTAACGCAGCCACAGCAGCCAAGGAATCAGCAATAGCCGATCAAGTCAGTGATACAGGGGAGGTGCGATTCGAGGAGAGAGACGACGAAGATATCTACTTTGCTCCCGAGAAGAACAACGTTATCTTCAGCAGCGCCGTTGATGGATGGGCCTTCACTTGCCGACAATTCGCTGCTATGTACGAGAAGAAGCTGGGTATTAAGCGTGGAATTATGGAAAAGGTTCTATGGGGCAACTTCTACCTGGACCCCAAGACGAAGAAGATCCTGGGCCCTAAGCATCTTAAGGGAAGGAATCTGAAGCCCCTGTTTGTGCAGTTGGTACTGGAGCCAGTATGGACTGTCTACCAAGCTACAGTGGGAGGTGATAACGGCCAGGGTGATCGAGATTTGCTGGAAAAGGTCACCAAATCCCTCGGAATCAAGATCACTCCTCACATGCTGAAGTCGCGAGATCAGAAGCTTCTCATGACGACAATTTTCGCAAACTGGCTTCCCTTGTCAACAGCACTACTAGTGTCCGTCATTGAATCTCTGCCTTCACCTCCGGCCGCCCAAGCTGCACGACTTCCCGAGATGATCGAAGAATCTCCAGGATCTGAGCATATCGATCAGACTATCAAGGACGCCATGATCTCTTTCAAGCATGAAAAGTCTGACCCCGTTGTTGCCTACGTCAGCAAGATGGTTTCTGTTCCCGAGAGTGAACTTCCCGAAAATAAGCGACGCACTGGAACCCAGATGAGTGGCGAAGAAGCTCGAGAGCTTGCACGCAAGAAGCGAGCTGAAGCTGCTCGAGCCCAGGCTGCGGCTGGTGAGAACGGTGTTGATAGCATCGCGACCTCCATGGATGCCATCAACCTTGACGATTTCGCCCCTGAGTTGGAAGAGAAGAAGGTTGATCCTGAGCACCTTATCGGTTTCGCTCGTATTTACTCGGGAACGCTTTCCGTCGGCGATAAGCTCTACGTTATTCCTCCAAAATGGTCACCTGCTGAGCCTAACGCTGCTCCTGAGCCTCAAGAAGTCACTGTTACTGCGCTCTACATGCTCATGGGACGAAACCTCGAGGCTCTCAATTCAGTTCCTGCCGGTTGTGTCTTTGGTATTGGTGGTCTCGAGGGCAAGATTCTCAAATCTGGTACCTTGTGCAGTCGTCGCGACGGTGCCGTTAACCTCGCGGGTGTCACCATGTTGGGCAAGCCTATCGTTCGCGTTGCACTGGAGCCCGTGAACCCCGCCGATCTTGACAAGATGATTCATGGCCTCAAGCTTTTGGTTCAGAGCGACCCCTGTGCTGAGTATGAGCTTCTGGGCAGCGGTGAACATGTGTTGTTGACTGCAGGTGAGCTGCATCTTGAGCGATGTCTGACTGATCTCAAAGAGCGATTTGCCCTGTGTGATATTCAACCTGGTGCTCCCATCGTTCCCTACCGAGAGACAATTGTCCGAGCTGAAGAGATGCGACCTCCCGCGAACAAGGAACTCGGTCGTGGTGCCGTTGTTGCTACAACAAGCTCAAAGCAAGTTACTCTCTCGCTCCGGGTGCAACCGATTCCCGAAAACGTAACAGACTTTTTGGTCAAGAATGGCGATGCTGTTAAGCGAGTCTACGACCGCAGGGCCAAGAAGGATGATGAGGATGAGGAGATTGTCGCTGAAGCTGATGTTGCGGCTGGAAATACTCTGTCCGTGGAAGACTTCAAAAAGCAACTTAAGGAGAAGCTTGAAAGTGGAAAGGGCAGAGATATCTGGAAGGATTGTATTGATAAGATTGTGGCTTTCGGACCTCGACGTACTGGACCAAACCTCCTTATCGATGCTACTGCAGATGGTATCTTCTCCAAGGCTTTTGCTACTGAAAAGGCTGTCGAAACTGCACCTCGTGCTGACGAGTCTCTTCATCCTAGCCATCTTACTGACAAGATCTCATACGCCTTCCAACTTGCTACGGCCCAAGGTCCTTTGTGCAATGAGCCACTCCAGGGCGTTGCAGTCTTTATTGAGGATGTTACCCTGAACCTCGCCGAGGATGACTCCTCTGCACGCGACAAGCTTGGCCGTCTGACTGGTGAGATCATCAGGACATTCCAATCTTCTCTTCGCGCAGGTTTCATGGACTGGTCTCCCCGTCTCATGCTCGCCATGTACAGTGTTGAGATTCAAGCATCTACAGAAGTCCTCGGTCGCGTGTATGATGTTCTTACCCGTCGTCGCGGCCGCGTCAACGCCGAACTCATGAAAGAGGGTACACCATTCTTCACAATTCAAGCACTGGTTCCCGTAGCCGAGAGTTTCGGATTCGCGGATGAGATGCGCAAGCGTACCAGTGGCGCAGCCCAGCCACAGCTGATCTTTGCTGGCTTCGAGATTCTAGATGAAGATCCTTTCTGGGTACCTTTTACAGAAGATGATCTCGAAGATCTTGGTGAGTTGGCTGACAAGGAGAACGTGGCGAAGCGATATATGGATGGTGTGAGGAGAAAGAAGGGACTGCTTGTTGAAGGAAGAAATATTGCTACGGACGCAGAGAAGCAAAAGACACTGAAGAGGTAGATGTATTTGAGAAACAATAAAATTATGCATGTTATGATATAGCCTGCTGTGGCAGTGTAGTTGTAGTATGCATGCGTTCATCGGCCGCAGTGTAACATGGGCCCTTCCACATTGCATAGAGATCAGATGAATATGTTACAGGCACAACTCCATGGGTTTACTTGACAGATATCAGTTTTGAAATAGATATTGTGGGAGAATTATAAATGGTGTGCCTCGCTAACGCCTAAGCTATAAGAGCCTGTTTCTTGCTATAACAAATCAGTTGAGTGAATTGGATAAAGGCATATTGGTAAAGCCCCAGAACTGCAGGTTGTTTACGTATGTCCTAGTTCTGATAATTCTTATGGCCTGAGTTGTGATACTTCCCTACTCTTCCGTGGCAATCGTCTCTAGGATGCAATACTGGATCTCGTTTTCTCATACTCCTTCTTCTCTTCTTGTCTGTTCCTTTCTTGCCCGTACAAAACCAGTCGATCGAGATCTTCTCTTCAGCTTCTCCCTATACTCATCGAGAATCATGATGACCTGCATTTCTATCGTCATCAACTTCGCCGAAAGTCGTCAAAAATCACCTCAAGCAATCGACAGTCTGCAAGTTCCAAGGTTTTCTCATGCAGGTCCATGTAAGGCTCAATCCACATAGTCATAGAACCAGCCTTCTTTGGATTCCGTACCTTACTTGACCAACTATGCTTTCCCTCCTACTTTATGTTTAAGACAGGCCAGCCCAATCTTGTATTGTGAGCACACGTTGTACACGTTTTGTCGTGTCTCGCCACCAGATCGGATCTCTTCCCCTCACATCAACTGGTCGGTGGCTAAGCTGAGCTTCCCTCATCCGACATGAGGTCTTTACGCAGAGTACCTGATGTGCCAATACGAGCTGAAACTTGGCGAGAGCCGCGGCTGGGTCTCTATTCTCCACTACCCTCAGATCAAACAGTGACATGTCAACTGCGAAAAGAGAGACTATCACATTCTGACCCCTGACGGTCTTAACCCTTGCTCCCACACACTCGGCACTTTCTCCACGATTTCGGCAGCTAACTAGAAGCCGAGCGTCCCCTGTGGATTAACGTTGCTTTTTTGTCTCTGCCACGAAACACGACGGCCCGTTCGACTTTTCCTCGTTTGGTTTGAGTCCATCTGCAGAGATTGAGTTTTTCTTTTTGCAAAGATGACTTAGTAGGACTTGATTTTTCCGTTGAGGGATGTGAGGGATGAAGAGGCTGGATTCAGAAACATGGAGCATTTTTACGTGGAGTATTGGAGATGGACCCTAAAAGAAGTAAAGGTTGAAGGACTAGAGTGTCTAGACGCACAAATTCGCCGCTGGCTTCAGATCCGATATTTCTGACAATCTTATATCACGGGTTTCCTCCCCGACGGACTGGTTCTAGTTGTTCTGCTTCAGATGCGAGCTGCAGTTCAACTCATCATGGATCCCCAGGCGTCTATTGAAGGAAGTACTGCAGCAATGACTGAGGTCAATCTCAAGGCCTTCAATATAGAGGCCTTTACATTACTTGGCATTGCGTTGCTGGTCACCGTGTTAAGGTCGTGTGTGCGGATCAGGACTGTTGGATGCAGGAACCTCTGGGCAGATGATTATCTCGTCATTTTGGCCGCTGTGAGTGAGGAATATCTGATGTGGGTGCATGATACTAACAGCATTAGGGCATCTACGCTATAGAAACAGGACTGGCATACTCGGTCGGGAATATTGCTCAAGGGCTGGCGAATAACTCGATGACCGACGAACAACGAGCCTCTTTGCAGCCGGAAGATCATGAATATCAGCTTCGGTAGGTCAAACCCTTCCATCTCTCTTGGTTATTTATGCTAATACTTGCAGTATCATTGGCTCCAAGATCCAACTAGCTCTATGGGCAACTTACTCATCCCTCCTCTGGATCCTCAAAGCAGCCATGTGCACTTTCTACTATCGACTTACAAAAGACCTCCAAGGTCATCGAGTTCGGGTCATCATCGGCTTTGGCTTCATTATTTCTTCTTTCGTTATTGTTCAGATGAATCTCCTTCTCAGTTGTCGCCCCTTCGACCACTGGTGGCAGATCTTCCCTGATCCCGGAGCTTTCTGCCATGCTGCCATTTCGCCTGCTTTGATATGGACATGTCTTGCTTTCAACTTGGCCACAGACTTCTACCTCATCATGATTCCTATGCCTATGCTTTGGAAGGCTGCTATGCCTTGGCCTCAGAAGATCGGGCTCATTGCCCTATTCAGCTGTGGGTTGTTTGTCACTATGGCCGCTATCCTCCGGGTTGTGCGGCTTGTATCTGTAAGTATACCCCAATCACAAGTCTCACTACATGCATCTAACCACGATCAGGATCCAATAAATGGCCCTCGACTTGCAGCCTCTTGGGCAGTTCGCGAGACCTTTGTCGCCATCATGACAACAAACATCCCCATGCTATTCCCAACGTTCAAGAAATGGGCAGTTCCCATTGTCGAAAGAGCTGGGTCCTCTTTGAGTGTCTACCGAACTCCACCAAACACTATCGTGGATTCCAGATTCTCCGGAGCTCTATCTCTAGGTAGTTTGAGGCGAAAGAGCCGAGGCTCGTCTCGCATTACATGCGTTAGCCCCATGTCGCCCACTGCCAGCGAGAGTGAAGTACACATGAACTCACTTGGCCTCATTTATACTATGCCTGACTCAAGCATCAAGAGACCAAAGGCTTCCAAGACAACACACAAGGTCGCGGCCATACACCTCCCGCGCATCGATACCTCAGCCCCTGCTGATTCAGACCATGGATATGGTCGACTGAGCACGAGAAGTGACAGTTCCGTTGTTTCCTGGTCAGAAACTCTGGTGAACTCGCCTCAATCTGAGGGAACAGAGTCTCTACTCTCAGCTCGAGTTCACCACGACGGATACGGCAAAAACGTTTAACGCCTTTGTTACGAACATCCATAATGCCTTTGTCTTCTGATATGAAGTTACGACAAAGATGATCACATTTTACATCGACTTGCATGATTCACGATTCTACGTTAGTTACCAAAAATAGAAAAAAGCTCATAGATTTGTTTCTGGGTTGGATATGAGATTCCATTGCTTCAATCATTATGAGTTCAAAATGGGAGGGGTTTTTTTTTTTTTTTGGAGGTTCGCGATGTGTTAGCATGCAGACTCCTAAGCTTCTGGGTTTCATTCACTTCAACTATTGGAAAACTTATATACTGTATTTTAGTTAAATATTACTGAGCTCGTTACTTATGAAACACCATAGCGAAGTGTTAGCCGTAGTGGCGCTCCATCGTAAGAACTACCAAACCTGCAGTATGCTCTCAATGACCTTAAAGTCTTAACACAATGAGCCTTTGTTGTTTGCCGAGGCTTATTATCCTTGCTCCTAGTGGTGTTCTCTCTATTTCGGGGCCTGAGCCCAGTTAAAGAATGACCAGTATAGTGTCATCTTTGTCTGAACTAAATAGGCTCTTTCAAAGACAGTGAACAGTGTAGCAAAGTATGGTTATCAAGACTATGTAACAAGGAATTACCAGGCCTTTCTTCATAATTTTACATATAAGGGACTCTACATGCTCCCTATAGTGAATAAACACCAAGTTCATGCAACATCGGAAACCTTATACACAAATTATCATCATGGCTACCACACGTCGTTCTAAGTCGACGACTGAAGAAACTCGAACAGTTTCTGAAGCATCATTGATGACTCCTACCAGAACAACAACACCAGAATCAAGCATTGCAACACCTATAACTAGTCAAGTATTCCTTCCTACACCACCCGAGACCAAGCGAAAAAAGACATGCCGCGATAGCCCGATTCCGTTCAAGATAAGAAAGACAACCTCAACTCCCAAGGCCGTGACTCGCCCTGAAACTCTCAACTGGTTGGCAGACCTGGAGGACGAGGATTACGAACCTCCTCAGTCTCCAACTCCTGCTGGATCAGGTGCTATTGAGGAGCAAGAGACCAGCGATGACGAGGAAGAGAAAGTGTCTAAGCTTAGACCTAAGACATTCCAATGCGGAAGTTTTACCAAAAGCTGGGCAGAGATCGGACAGGAACGAAACTTTGAGTTCTTCCAGGCCTATCCTCACGATGAGTTCTCAACCCTTTGCGTGGGTCATTTTATGCAACTTGCAGAGAATTGGTATTCTCGGCGCAAATCCATGGTCAACAACCAGGTTCAAGAGATTATCAGGGGCGGTTTGACTCAGAAGCCTGACTTTTCAAAACTGGCTCTTCCCGTCTGTGATGAGACCTGGACTGTCAAGAGTCTTCAAGACTTCAAAGTCGACTTACACAACGCCATCAACGATGCCAGCAGTCGAGTGAGATTCAACCACAAACAGACTCTTCAAGCTACCGGAAAGCGACCCATCTGTGAGCTTGGAAACCAGGAACACCCTCTGAAGTGCCCATTATGTACCAACTATGAGCTGCCATGCAAGGGCAACTACGTCGAGGTTGACAAAGCACATTGTCGTACGGATATTCCACCCTACTTCCCGGATTCATTTGATGCCGAACTTGAGAAGGCTTCCAGGCCTATTCCAGACTGCTGTCACCAGAAGGCTCTCATGATTCTCGGGGGCGACAAAGGTAGAGATTACATGGAGTGCGAGGAATGTTGTTACAGCCAGGAGCTCCCTCAGAATCCCCTTCAGATGCCCAAGGAATTTGCAATCAGAGTGGCTGGAAATCGTATTCCAGTCAAAGTTCGTCCCGAGCGTCTTTATCTCAACAGCAAACTCGGGCATGTAGATGTCAGTGGCATTCATATCATTGTCGATCATTGTGTTGGTGAGCCAATGATCAAGTTTCAGTAAGTTCTCACACAAGCCCTTTTGTAGCCATGATATATAGCTAACCTCTTTTCTCAGGTCAACTCAATTCTCGGAGGCTCATGAGATGTACGGCTTTGACCTCCACCTGGAGGACGAGATCAGCATGGTCGAGTTTGATCTGCCTGAGGAGCACACATATGATCATCATGAGTCGGCTAACATTCAAAGGCTATACTGGCAACAGGGTGCTTTCAACGCGATTGCACGGTGTTCCAACCTATTTGATAACTGTCCGTGTCATTAAGGAGGCAGGTATGCAGATGCAATTAAGCCTTGCTAGAAATGCGAACAGAGAAGGATAGATGATTGTTATGGAAAATTCCAGTTATATTAGATGGTCAAAACATCTAGCAAGTTGGGTAGACGGAGGTAAAGAAGGAGAATAGAGAATAGAGAATAGACAGATGAAAATGAAAAACATGACCCAATAAAAAATCGAATGCCACTATTCGCATGATAACTGTAGGGTAACCCTCCAGGCAACCATCTGCGGCTGAAAGGGAAAAACCCCCCACGTGCCCAACGTTACGTACCCACCTTGAAAATTCTAACCAGTCAAGATATTTCTTTCAACCTTAGTAGGCAAACAGAAAATCCAGGGCATTTACAGTGGGACTAGCGGCCTCCTCCAGGGGACCTCCGGCTCCAGCTGATGTAAGGCTCCGGGGCCTCCACTCATTTAACTGAAGGCAGCCATTCAGCCATTTCGTGGTGGATTGCCGAAAGTCGCCTCGAAACTTGAACTCTGCATATCTTGACATTAAAGTGCCACGATGCGATACTGAAGAGTCACGTTACAACAGAGCCTACTCAATACTTGTCTAATACCGATTATCTTTTGGAACTTCTTCCTCGTACTTCACTTCTCACGTTCCTTTTCTCGTACTCTTCTCTCTTGTTTTTACCATCTTCTTTAATCTAGTCCCACCCGTTGCGCGACATTGCCGACGTCCGGGAGCGACACGCACACGCCACCGCGAACCCCTCCATCCCTGACCTGTGACCCAACTCAAGTCAGACCCCGTCGGCGCTCTACCTTTCAAGACATTGTTGGATTACTAGGACCGGCCTCCTAATCACACAAGATGCGTCTCTTCGGCGGAAAGAACAACAAGATCAAGGTCGACCCTCCCAAGATCAGGATCGAAAAGGTTGTCGTCGACCGACCTGCCCAGAAACCTAAGCTCAAACCCACTTCCGCACTCAGCGGCTCAGCATCGCGCTCCTCCTCCGCTCACCGTCCCTCGCCGAAACCACTGGCACGACAGGCTAGTCACTCGCCGTACCCCTCATCTTCCGACGAGAAGCGACTCGAGCGTAAGCGCAAGGCACCGTCCGTCACCCGTCGATCACCGGCTAGCGACCGTATCGAGTTCGACAAAGACAGTGACGGCGAAGACGACGGATGGATGACTCTTGATACCAAGAGACAACGCAAAGGCACGGAAGATGGCAGCTTTGTTGACCCTAACCGCAAACTGAGAAGCGTAAGAGCCTTTGAGGATCGGATGGACAGTCGAAGCTTCATTCATGCCGTGGATGTGGCTTCGCTTGAACACAAGTGCGTGCCTGTGATGGGCGCCCAGAAGGAGGATGTGGCTATCCGACTACAATATCCCAGCTTGCAACCTCGAGAGAAGTAAGTCTCCCCGGCAACCCCGAACTTGAAAAACTAATGCTGACATGATTACAGGTATGAGCTAGTATGGGGAAAAGACAAGATCGATGCCGTCGAAGCCAGCATCAAGGTGGTTCGCCATGTAGCCGAAACATACCTCACCGAAGAGGAAGCAGAGCCTTTCACAAATCCCAATGGTGGTATCATTCGAAGACTGGAAAAGGCCTCCAACCGGAACATCCAGGATTTGATGGGTTTCAAGGCAGCTCTGCGTGAATACAACGAAAAGCTTCGTGCTCTAGTTGAGGACGGTGTAATTGCCAAGAACCTCGATAAAATGCATGAGCTCCCCCAACACCTTGTGGCTTTCATTCTTGATCAGATTTATGACCGAACAGTGGCTCTCAAGGTGGAACTTCTTTCGAAGTATGAGAACGGTACCGACTATGTCTATGGCGAGCTCCTCCACCCCTTCATTTCTAAGATTTTGGTAGAGCAGACACGAATGACCTCTGGTCAGGTCTTCGTTGATCTAGGCTCAGGTGTTGGCAATGTGGTTTTGCAAGCGGCTCTCGAGATTGGTTGTGAGAGTTGGGGTTGCGAGATGATGGAGAATGCGTGCAATCTTGCTGAGGAGCAAAAGAAGGAGTTTGATGCCCGATGCATGCTCTGGGGAGTTCGACCAGGCAAGGTTCACCTGGAACGAGGCGATTTCCGCAAGAATTTGCCCATCCATGAGGCCCTCAAGCGTGCAGATGTTGTGCTTGTGAACAACAAGGCCTTCACCTCGCAGCTGAACGATGACTTGGTCCGTATGTTCCTGGATCTCAAATCGGGCTGTAAGATTGTGTCGCTCAAATCGTTTGTTGCGGAAAAGAGCAACAACCACAACATCAACGACGTTGGCAGCACCATCCTGGAGGTGGAAGAGTGCACATACCCTGAGGGTTATGTGAGTTGGACTAATGCAGGAGGATCGTACTTCATTTCGACGCGTAAGTAGACTATAGAGCTTCATAAGCACTCAGTGGCAGAGATTATGGTGTTGGAGAAATAGGGATAGGGCAGACGGTTACATCAGCGTGGGGTATAAGGGTATGTTCGGACTTACAGGATACTCCATATAGTATTTGTTTTTTTCGTGATATCGTGGCTCGTGTCTTGGATTGACCTCCTTTGTTTTGCGTTATGGATCGTCGACTATCGTCCCTTTTTGAAGATGGGTTCGTTGGCGAGGTTCATAGCGTCTGCTTCTTGTGCCATCCTCTTCATCCACCTGTCCACCAGTTCTTTGTTCTCCTTCTTCACCTTATCTCTTTCCTTCTCGGCCATAGACATTTGTAGATTCAGCGCAATCATCTCATCTTGCACTTGCTGGTGTCGCCGTAAGCAACAGTGGTGGTGAATTGTAGCATTTGGGCCATACGTACCTCAATAAACTTGCGCTTTTCCCTCAACTCGTATTCCCGATCCTTTAGTCTGGTGGTAAGACTATTTCTATCGGCCGTGAGTTCGCGGATCGATTTCGTATCTGCCTTGTACTTTGCCCGTAGCTGCATTAACTCTTCCTCGCTCGCGCGCAATCGCTTTTCGGCGACGCCCTTTGATCGAAGGGCTTCGGCGAGATCTTGTTTTAGTTGCGCTACAACAGGATCGTTTGTCGAGGGTTCGGTGGGTTGTGCAGTTGATGTCCCGCTATTTGCGACCAGCGCTTCCAGTCCATTCTTCTCAGCCTCCAGAGCAGATATGCGATCTGCCATCTGCGAGCCTTGGAATCATTGTCAGTTTGATGAACCTTTCGTATCCTCGCATGATACTGTCGCATGCTGGAGGAGGGGTTATGTGGGGGTGCTTTTACGAACAAGTCTGAACAAGCTCCATGTTGACGGGATTACTGAGCTCCGCATCCTTGATGGATGAGAGATACTGGTCACGCCAGTTTGGCATTGTGAGTGGGTATGATGTTTGTTTTGGAGGACAGATGATGAGGTTTTGATGTAGATGAGTTTGAGTTGAGCAAAAGTGACGAGAGAATGAGTTGAGTTGAGAGGGTGGCTTGCATGCACTTGCACCGCTCATTCTTTCCCGCCATGTGAGATGATGCAACCGCCGAAAGGAACTTAAAATTAGCGGGACAAGGAGCTAGCTACCCGACCGCTAATTCCAGCCGGAGAATAGCCGTACGCCTGGCAACCTCCACTTACCTGAGCTACCTAGACTACGGTATGATGCAGCACCTAAGCTCCCTGCTCTCATTCATACTGTACAGGTAGGTGCCTAGCTGACGAATAACATTCAGCTTCAGGCGCGTCTCATTCTCAACAAATTCAAAAGATCGGGTTACAATATGAGATAACGCGAGATGGACACGCTTCACGCGAGAGCCGATTGGGAGAGTGTCGGGGACAGATGGTTCCGCAAGACACAGCAGTATACAGCAGTGTTTGACCAAGATCTCGACTTGGATAATTATATCGTTGTTGGAGCTCCATATGCGGGAGCACTAGGTGAGTTCTGAGCCACATAAGCTTAAGATCATTAAATCATGAGTTTTCAATATTCTCATGATGAACTTAGTTTTGGATGTAATTGTGACTGACCACATCCTCAGCACTATGGCGCGACGATACAAAGCTTCTAGCTTATCAACCAGGAAGGTCGGCAAAACCAGCAATTGACATTTACAGTCTTGCCGGTAAGAAACTCCGAAGTATTCTCTGGGATAATGGCACCATTAAAGGCCTTGGATGGTCTGAAGATGAGACTCTACTCGTTGTTACCACTGACGGTACGGTCCGCTGTTATGATCTGCAAGGAGACTTTACACAATTCTCCCTCGGCCATGGTGCTGATAACTATAGCGTCGAGTCATGTCGGTAGGTGCTTCTCAGTGATATAGTCTACTTCCGTGACTGACGAGAGGCAGCTTCTACGACCACGGCATGGTAGCACTACTTGGAAACAACTCACTCGTAACAGTTTCATCATATACTGAGCCCCGACCCAAGGCTCTTGCTAAGATACCAGAAAGCGAGATCCACGCTTGGTCAATCATTTCACCAAATCACACGTTATCTAGGTCTGTCGAGGTGCTATTAAGCGTCGATAAGACGGTATACGTTGTCGATGCCACTGATTGCGAAGACCGTTTCCTCGATATCGGGCCTTTCAGCCATATTAGTGTCTCCCCAGATGGACGCTATGTCAATCTTTACGCTGTAAATGGGAAAGCTCATGTCATATCAAGTGACTTTCAAGAACGGCTATTCGAACATGACTCTGACTCTCAGACACCTCCTCTTTATGTTGAATGGTGCGGGACCGATGCCCTCATTGCCTGGGAGGACGAGGTGCATATTATCGGACCTGGCGACTCTTCATCTTCATATATCTACGACAGCACACGAGTACACGTTATTTCTGGTATGCGCGCTATCACTGTTTGATATCAGATGCTGACATTGTATAGAACATGACGGCGCTCGTCTAATTACAAACGACTTTTGCGAGTTTCTTGAAAGAGTGCCACGGGACACCCTCGAAGTCTTTGGCCAATCTTCAGATTCATCACCTGCTTCGATTTTGCTTGACGCCGTAGGCCAACTGGAGCTTGAGTCTCCAAAAGCCGATGATTACATCCAACTAATACGGCCTAATCTTACCGGGGCTGTGGACACTTGTGTCAATGCAGCTGGGCGCGAGTTTGATACCCACTGGCAGAAGCGCTTACTCAAAGCAGCCTCATTTGGCAAATCTGTACTCGATATATACAACAGCGACGACTTTGTTGACATGTGCGAGACTCTACGTGTACTCAACGCTGTACGATACTACGAAGTTGGTATGCCGCTATCTTTTGAGCAGTATCACCGCTTGACACCGGAGAGCCTCATTCGACGATTGCTCAACCGACACGAGTATCTCCTTGCCCTGAAGATTGCAGATTATCTGAAGCTACCTACAGATCGAATCTATGTACACTGGGCGTCTAGCAAGGTCCGTGTAGGAGGCGAGGATGACGATACCATCTGCCGGTTGATTGTGGAGAGACTGTCTGGCAAGCCTGGAATTTCCTTTGAGGAGATCGCTCGTGCAGCATACCAAGAAGGAAGGGGCCGACTTGCTACAGAACTTCTTAACCATGAGCCTCGTGGTGGTAGACAGGTTCCACTCCTCTTGAGTATGGAGGAGGACGAGCTTGCTCTCGATAAAGCTGTCGAGAGTGGTGACACGGATTTAATACTATCAGTTTTGTTGCAGCTCAAGAAGAAGTTGCCCCTTGCCGCTTTCTTCAGGGTCATCAACGCACGACCGACAGCAACAGCACTGGTGGAAGCTTTGGCCATGGAAGAGGGTGACAATACGCTGCTAAAGGATCTGTATTACCAGGATGACCGACGCGAAGATGGCGCCAACGTTTTTATCCGCGAATCACTAAAACAACCTGATGTTCGAACATCGTCTGATAAATTGGCTCTGGCGGCAAAGCTGTTAGCTGATTCGAAGGAGTCTACGTTCGAGGTTCATGCGTTGAAGGAGGCTACAACACTTCTGCGCATGCAGGAAGCTTTCGACCGGGATCTGACAGACACCTTTACCGGCCTGAGCGTCAATGAAACCATGTTTAAGCTTATTCGACTGGGCTACCACGGACGGGCTAAAAAGATTCAGAGCGAGTTCAAAGTCCCCGAGAAAGTGGCGTGGTGGATTCGGTATGTGGACCTTGTCTCCAACAAGCCCTGGCTTTGGGATGACAACGTTGGACAACGACTAACTTGTTCCTGCAGATTACGAGCACTAGTTGCGAAGCGAGACTGGAACGAGATCGAGGAGATCTCCAAGACAAGGAGAAGCCCCATTGGCTGGGAGGTGAGTTACAAAATGGGAACTCTGTGGAGTGAGATCTGAGACTGACAATCGTAGCCCTTCTTCAACCTCACCCTTCAAGCAGGTAACCCACGTTTAGCATCTGTATTTGTACCCAAATGCACATCATTAGAAGCCGGAGAGACGATCACCATGTATGAGAAATGTGGGATGCGGGTGAAGGCCGCGCAAGAAGCTGTGAGACTCAAGGACAGTGAGTCTTGGGAGAGGCTCTTGGAGGCTGCAGGAAAGGGGTCACAAGAAGGAAGAGAGATCGAACGGTTGGGTCAATCCGTATTCAAGAAGTAGAGTAAGCTCTGCTATAATTTCACAGAGGCACATATAACTCGTTTCACCGTACTTTCATAGCAAGAATATTCACAGACATGAAGCAGCCATGATGATCGATATGACGCTCGTAAGTTACACAATGATACGATCGGAACCGCGTTTAACGCCATGCAGGTATGAACCAAGCCATCCACTGCAGTGGCTGTATAGTTAATGGACATGAAAAACTGATGAATGCTTTTTACGATTGTGTATTGAGACATGAGAATTGGCCCCTCAATACAGCTCCGCACTTAGCAGCTGGAATGTGGAAGTCTGCAGTTGTTTCGGAAGATATCAAGGTTATTCGCGTGATGTTCCCCAGGGTCTCGTGATGTGCCCAGGTGCAAGTCATGTTTCTGTTGGTGTCTCATGATCCGCGATAACTGTTTGGCGCTCTAACGTTAGTCGACATTAAGCGGAACTAGCGGACATCCATAGAGAATAGAGGGTTTCGCGTGTGAGCTTAAGATAACGTTATGCTTGATCGGGATCTACCGAAACCGTTCCACGGTGAGCAAAGCAGATGATGCCTGGTGGTGGCATGACAGCTGAGGACCCTGTATCGTACTGTACGGTACTGTAGGTTGAGAAGAGGGAGGGTAGGATGATGATATCATGGGTTACATTCTGGCTCCGATGTGGGGATGACCTCGGCATGTACAGAGCCAACTGTAAGGTAATTAATAGCTGGGGAATTGTTAGTAACACGGACTCGGAGACTTTATGTCAATGAATTTCATTATCGTGATACTTCAGAGGAACTTCAATCCATCGGTTCAACGTTACCCCCTTTTTGCCTCCCGAGTATTTTTGTTTGCTTGCTTGCATCGTAAACTGAAGCCCTGTTCCTTTCTGGGC